GCCTCTTACAATTTGTGTGTGTTATACAATTACATATTTCAATAGTGATGCTAATGCAGTTAGTCTCCCACTTACAAATATTCACGTTGCAAAGGTTCATAGGTATGGTGTATATGAATCACTTTGCTGGGTTAGGGTTAGGGTTACAATTGAATCTGACTTGCAAGTAACTATCCCAGAATGGAACTCCTTCCAAGTCAGGGACTTGCTGTGTAACAAAAGACTTTCATAAACAAAGGGAAAACAAAGTATATTACTGTGATTGTATTATAAGTAGTTGTGATGCTTATTAGTCACTTAACAGGGATTCAACATGAGAAATGTGTTATTAGACAGTTTTTGTTGTGTGACAATCATAAGAGTGTGCTGCTAATAAAGAACAGCAAAATAAGATGTCAGAGATGGCAAATCCTGCATTCTTGTAAATTCAGTCTTCTGTACCAAAATATTAGTACATGGTGCATGCTGTACTGGGTCCCATAGTACAGTGTTAGTCCACATTATATCTACTTATTTCATAGAATATTCAGTTGGGCTGAGATAAATGCTAAGTCTCATTAAAGCTTCTGGTGTGAATTCATTTTATTGTGCCATCTGGGATAGGGTGAAAGGAATGTATGGGAATAGGTAAGCATCAGATGAAAGTCTAGAAGGATCACATTGACAGAGCTGAGTTCAAGTTCTGGTTTCAGTACTCAGTAGCTGTGCAACCCTGGCAAGTTGCCTAATTCATTCAGCCTTACTCTCTCCAAGATAAAATGCAGGCAATAATGATACATAGATAAATTAAGATAAAATGCCTAAGTATTTCATATGATACGCATCCTCTAGTAAGAGGGAATAAATTTGTATTCCTGTGATTGCTATCTTGTTCTTGAATGGAGCAAGCTGTGCAATGTAGTAAACAGCAGGTAAGCTTATGCAATTTATTAAATACTGTGCAATTTAGTAAACAAAAATCTAATAAAGAACAGAAAAATGAGATGCCAGAGGATCGGCCATAAATCATAGTTTTTGGTTCATCTTATTTTGTGTATGTTCATTTCTCTCGTTTCCTTCCCTTTAGTAAACTTGTACTCTATAAGCATCATAATTAAATCTGCAAGCTCTGTAGAGCACATCTGTGATCTCCATCTCCTAGAATTGGCTGCATATTCCACTTCTGTCTTTCAATCCTTTCCAATCTAATCAGCCACACGCCTTGACTATTTCGTGGGTATTAAGCACTTTTCTAAACAATTTACAGCTATAATATCATTTAAATCTCATAGTCTTGGGAGGTGGGCAGCACTGTAGTCGTGCGTCACTTAACAGCACCGCATTCTGTTAGGTGATATCAGCACTATAGGAACACCATGGGAGTGCTTATACAAACCCAGCTGGTACAGGTGGATCACTAACCTGGTCTCTTGATGTAATCAACAGACTTCATAATCTTAAAATCTCTGAGATTGCTGCCAGTGGAACATGACATACTGTTTTGCAAAACTGTTTTCTAGTAACTAGAAAGAGTACATTCTAAAATATTGATGCAAGTATATGGTAGTAAATATGTAAAGCACTAACATTTATTATCATTATCAAACGTGCTGTACATAACTATATGTGCAATACTTTTGTACCACTGGAAGCACAATAGGTTTTATATTAGCATCACACACATGATTAGTACATTATGATGCAACATTGTGATAATGACTATGATGTCACTACAGGCCAGGGATTTTCAGCACTATTTTAACCTTTTGGGACCATTGACTATAAGCAATGCATCATTGAATTGTGGTTATGTGCACATGGCCATCTTACCTGTACTCCTCATTTGTATGAGGAATGAGGAAATTGAGCCACACAGAGGTTACATGACTTGCTGGTAAATGGTGGAGCTGAAACTCAGTCCCTGGCAGGCCTTGATCTGAACCCTTTATCCCAGTTCCTCTTAGGATGCTAAATTTGGGTTTACATTGCCACAGCTTTCAGTGATGCAGATAGTAAGGAGGTGGAGCCAGTCTTCCTCAGCAATTCATTTGGCTCATAGCTTGAGAAACCAGATTTCACACCCCACCTCCAGCCATCAGCCACTCAGGTGGGAAACATTAGAAAAAATCACATACCCTTAACTATTCGTGTGAGTCCTTAAGATGCAAGATTTGAAAATCCAGGGTTTTTTTTGGCTGGGGGTGGGGAGGGGGTGGTTATACCTCAACAAGCAAGAGTCATTCTTATATTTAAGACATTTCAAAATTCTTAGATGCTAAAGTAAGCTCCGAATTACTCCTGCTCTAGATAAGAATGTGTGTATAAATAGAACAATTGGTATACATGGTGTTAAGAGTATAACTTCCTTTTCTTCTGTGTAAGGTAAGTCACCCAATGTGAGCGTTTGCATCTGACATAAGCAATTAGTCTCAGTGGAGCACAGTGTAAGATTCAGTAAATTACACAGCCGAGATTGCCCTTTTCTTCATTGTGGGGTTTTTTTTGTTGTTGTTGTTGTTGTTTTTTCCCTTTTCATATCCAGCAGTTAGTACCAGGGCCCGAAATCCTTAGTTACAGAACAAAGTGGCTTACAGTAACGGAGCCTGCATGAGGCTAAGAGAAGAAGAATGAACCTTCCCTGCGAGCTTCCTGCCTAGATGCAGGTGCAGAAATCAGGAGGTCATGAATAATGCATGACATGCAGATGAGGTGGAGCTTTCTCCTACTGGGGTTCTGACTGCTACCTGTCTGACTACTCTTACGTGGAGAAAAGGCAGAGGATACCAGCAAAGTCCTCTGTAAAGACCCAGCACACCAAAACTCTATCCTTTTGGAGAAAGAAAACAAGGAATATCGGAAGAGAATGCCTTTTCATTTTGTTTTGTTTGGTTTTTTTTGGATGAAATAAGCTCCAGATTACCAATGTATTGGGGCATCTTTCTTGATTTATCTTAAGAAATCTTACAAGTATTTTATCATACACATAATCAGAAATTCCTTTTTAAGATTTTACTAAGGGATTCTTTTCCTAATGCCTGCTGGACCATTACAGAAGTTATCAGTTTGTGACATCAGACCTATGATTAATGAAATTTTTCTAAACAATGCAAATACCTAGAGAATATTATAGCAGGCTTATTTTATCCCAGCAATATATTCAGTAAGCAGCCTTAATAAGAGGAAACTTTCATCATCATACTTGAGTGGGTAGAATTACAATGGTGAAATGACATGGTTCTGTACTTTTAGGGTTAGGATAGGATAAATGGGGTAAAGGGCTACAGGATAGAGAGTAAATTGAAAAGCTGTGAGAATCCCAGTTCCACTTAGGGTGGTAAGTTTGGGGCTGATTACTCCTTGACTTTATTTAATAGGATTGTCAGACCTCAGAGAGGGTATAGACACAGTCCTAGACTGGGGTTTCCTGCATTTCCTTTAGGTCAGGGTGCTTTATTCAGGGAGAAACTGTTTGGCTCAGATGCCCTTTTTGGGGATTATATTCCAAGCAGACCGAAGAAAAGGAAGAAAAGGGAAAGAGTAATTTTGCTACTTTTTGTATAAGTCTTAAAGTGTTTTTGATGCATTTTTCTCCCTTTATTTCTCACACTTCCCTTTCTTTCTTTAGTTCTTTTTCCCTTTCTCTTTGCTTTTCTTCCTCTAATTTGAGGTCCTGGAATATGAGCTGGCTTTCATTTCTAGCTGAGTCTGTCATTTCCGCTCGGCCCCAGTTTGGCCAGATGCCAAGACCAACAGGTGATCCTTGTAGCTGCAAAACAGCAGGAAGTGGGCCACTTGAATGAGGCAGTTCACCCGAGGGGCTGTCTGGCCTCCCTCCATCTTCCTGCATAATTAACACCCCCTCCCCCATGCCGAGCAGAAAATCTGTGCTGAGCAGCTGAACGGCAGCAACCATTGAGAAGCCTGCAAGGAAAAGAATGTTAATAAGGGATGTTGGAAGAAATCAGCCTCCAGAGTGCAAAGTGCAGAGGGGTCTGGGAAGGGATTGGAACTGTGATGTGTTCTGACCCGATTCCCCCTTGCTAACACTGAGGAGGAACTCAAATTTTACAGACCCTTGGAGCTGTTTGTTCTACCTGGACTTGGACACCTGTTTAAAATCCCCCAGTATCTTTCTTGTCTTGTTAATAAAAGTAATTTTTGAAGCACGTGGTTTGAAGACACACCAAGCTAAAAAGACTGTGTAGATCTCACAGAGCTTGAGAAAGATAGACCAGAGCAGGATGTTGGCTCCCAGGAAGCCGAAGTAGGCAGCTGGCCTAGTGTTTTGCCAGTTGGTGACTCATGAAGATCTGGAGGTCCGGCAGCTAGTATGTGATTAGAGGCCTTTGGCAGTTGGCAGAAGCGTTTGACTGCAGCCCTGCATGGCACCAGCCACCAGCCCTGGAAACTCACCGAGCCGGACATTCATCACTTCTGAGTTGACTATGCCCTCTTCAGAGCCAGTTGCACAGCCTCACTTCCAGAAAGCCTTTCTCCCAGGAGTACCTGCTCACCCTTCTCCCATCCTCAGGACTCTGTTGCTGCTACTTAGGGAAAGTTCTGCTCTCTAGGGTTTCAAATCCAATCATCAGCTTAGGGTTTGACCCTTCACTGTTTTTATGCACCTCTTGTGGGAACAGGTACAAAGAGCGCTCACTGAAGAAGGGCACCACACATTACGTGACTGTCCCCCTCCGTACCTGGCAAAGGTTAGGTGTTCAGTTACTGTTTAGTTGAATGAGTAAGGCAGTTCTTTGAAGCTGGTGATCCTGCCTTTGGGAGCTTCCCAGTAAACAGGTGATAACAAGCCCTTGTTCTCTTGATAGAGATAAAGCAGTAAAAAGGTCTGCAGATTTGCAGACACGAATTTATATCCATTTATTAAGAGGTAAACAACTTCAGATTTTATATGAAACCTTAAAACAGTTGTTTCTAAAACAGATGATTTCCCCTCCCCCCCCTTTTCTTTACAATCAAGAATATGCTTTTGCAGTGATTATATTTCTCTCATTTATTTACAGAGTACATCCATCCCCGGTGTCAAGGGTCCGAGGAAATCGAATGAATAACCAGAAATTTGCTTGGTGAGTATACAATCTTAATTTATGGGTATTTGTGGTAAGTCTGGTCTAGGTAAGTTTTAATAAGGCTGTGTTGAAGAGAATTATTCCTGATCTAGAGAGACTAGATTTCTAATTGGACTATGTAGTATACATTTTCTCTGAAGAGTTTGAAAGCTATAGTCATAGTGTCTTTTCATCCAAAATTCTTACTAAAAACAATGAGTGGAACGTTTTCTCCTAACAGATACGATCTTGTTTCCCAGAATTTTCAACCATGGCCTTTTAGAAGAATATTTCCCTGTTTTTAGTGAGATTTACTTAACAATCAAAACTTTTCTCAGGTACCAACTTCTCATGCACATGAAGATTTATCAGTTAATTAGTGCATTATAATTAATGTTGGTGATTACTAGTGAGGTGATTCCTCTCACCCTGGCTTTGGCCTTAAGTACCTAGGGATTTTTTTTTTTTTTAATTTGGGGAAATGTTAAGATCTTTGACTAGTTCTTGAATAAAATTATAAGTCGAATTAGTGAAACAACATGAAGTTATTTCAGCTATAATATTGACTATTTAGTCCTTAAAAGAGGCACTATAAAGGCTTTTACAAAAATTCTTGAGAAACAAAGAAAATAATAGTTATTCTGTTTATTTACATTATTGCATTCCACAAAATTAACCTTTCAGCACGTTATCAATTAAAAAGGACAAAAGAATTAAACTGTGTAGTATATTACCTCAAAGATCAACAGAAATTTACAGATCTCCATTTATTGTACTTAGAATGAGATTTTGATTGGAAACTTTTTTTTGAAGCACAGGAGCGTGATTGCCAAAGATTGAGTTTCTGAATTTATTTCCCAATCAGGATTATTTTTAGATGCAAAATAATAGCATTTTGAATAGCACCTAATCAGCTCGCCTCCCTCCCCCCATTAAATCTAATTAACCCTAACAATAGCTTGGTGATGTTGTTAAATATTATGCCTTTCTTTTTCTCAGAGAGGGAAATAGAGCACAGAGGATACAACTATTTGCGTACACAAAAGCTGGGGCATCCTTCATGGCCTCTCACAATAGCTAAAGCTTATTGTCCCCTGTCAAACCTGGAAAGCTGTAGGAATAATAATCCTGATGGTCATTACATGGAAGGAAAGGGAAAAATAGGTCTCATTTTGACTGAGTGGAATTTATATTCCTTCTCAATACCCAGCATATTGTGCTAAAGAAACTTCATTACATGTAGAGAATGCCGGATGCTCAAGGAAGCAACATGAGCCAAGGGAGAGGAACCGAATAGTCAGTCGTGAGATCCAGTTTCTACTTCTTCATTCTCAGAAGCTAAATATGAAGCACTGAGGAAATAATAGATTTTCTTTTCTTCACTTTTTCTTGCTGGACTACTGGAGTAATGCCATAATTCATAGCATTTTATTTAGTAACTTTTTCTCTACAGAAAAGTAATCCATGAGAAACAAAAAGCATTCTGCCTACTACTCTTGAAAAAGTTGAACTTTTATTTATTCAGCAACATTGATTTATAGTACCAGGAACTAAAAGCATCAGATTAGAAAGATAAATGAAACATGATTTGGGTATTCTCAAGGGGCTGTCTTGTAGGGGAGATGTGTGGAGGTAACGGGGTGGGTGTGTGATGATCTGCTATCCCCCCTGGGTATGTACATTGTTATCACACACACACACACACACACACACACACACACATTATGTGGTAAACAATATATGATATAATACAATGTAACAAATACTTGTGGAAATGTATTTGTATTGCAGTCTTAAAGGAAGCATTATTAACTCTACTTAAGACTAGTTTGAGAGTGGATCATATGGAGAGGGGATAATACAAACTAAGAAACAGATGGTTAGAAAATCCAGAGAAAAGAGCTTTTGAGTAAAGACCTAGAATTATTAGGGAAAGCAGAACTGAACCTGTGTCTCCTTTATAGATTGAAACAAGACATATAAAGTCCCAGAGACATTTCTGTTAACTACAGCAAGAGCATACATGGATTTAATACATAGACTTTATTTGATCAGGAGTTAGCTAAAATTTCTGTGATATATACCACCTTGAATCTTCCTTAGGTAAATCCTGTGAGACCGTTTCATGGAAATAAATCACCTGGCTAGAAAGAAGCCTCATGAATCACCCAGAATCTACTCCTAGTGAAGTGATAAACATTGATATTTTTTCATGAAATATTGACTCTGAAAAATTCACAAGGTTTAAATACTCATCTAATGCTAAGGAAGAAGGGAAAGAGATAGTCACTTTCCTCAATATAGTAGCTTAGGAAAATTTAGGAGTTAAGTATCAGGTTCATCACTCACTTATCTCTGAATTGAGTTAGAGCTATGAGCACATACTTGAGAGTTAGTGATTTTGTGAAGTAGGTTAGCAAATGTTCAAATAAGCAATTAAAATCTGGCAAAAGAGGAAAAGCCTTAAACTTATTAAGTTATATATAGAGAATGTACAGCACTGGGAGATTCAAGAGGTCAATGGCTGCAGTCGACATCTATACTGCCAGTGTTTATTATTGAGCCGAGAGTTTAAAATTTTAAATAATGTTTTACTTTGCACAATGTATACAAGAAGTAGCATCAGCTGGCCTCTTTTGTGTGGCACCCTTTCTTCTGGAGCCTAAAACGTGTGTACAAGAATGGCTGCTCAGGGCAAACAAAATCTGCTGGACCCAAAGGAAAAAGACTGAGAGTGTTCATGTTCAGGGAGACAATGCACGCGAGCCCTCGGATGGCAGCACCCGGTGGTGGTTGCTAACAGTGGCACCATTCTGAAGTATGTGCTGGTTTAGGGATTGAAGACCGACAAGAGTGTATTGCAGATTGTATAGCACCCCACTAAAGAATGTCAGATCACTGCGCAACTTGCTTAGTATATAATTAATCAGAGGCAGTAGTTCAGATATAAGCTCTTATCAGAATGTCTTTTCCTCAGTGCCACTACAACAACAGGAATATTTGTTGAAGACTTGATGAACCTTTGGGGTTCAGGCCTGTGAATTTCTTTCTTTGTTTTATGCATCAGGCCTCTTCTCAGTTCATCTCCGTGGACCCTAACAGTGCCTTCCTTTGGTCAATAACTGTTGTATGGGAGGAAAAGGAATCTTTTCCTTTTATACATGTTTGGGTCATTGACTGGGGCCCTGTGAATTAGACTACCAGAAGATGGGTTCATAAAAGAAATAGAGAAGTTCTTGAGCAGAGGAGGTACCCAGAGATGAAGAATTCAGGGCAGGGGTTAGAATTTAAGTTTAGGTAGCATTTTAACAAAGCAGTAACTTTTTAGTCAAGTGATAAGATAAAGGAAAAGGGCTTTGAGCTTTTAGAGGTGGCAAATTATAAGAAGATAAATATATGGGGAAATCAGTGGGGAGATTAGGGATAGTTACTAAGATTTGTTCTATCAGTTCCTCTGGTTCCTTCTCCAGGTTGATAAGGAAGATTGCCTCCCGTGATTAAGAGTCTCCCTCTGCTCTCCCTGGCAACAAAGGGCAAGAGCAGAGTTTTTCTTGTGTCTGCTTCTTTGACATGCCTTCAGCCCATAATAATTCATATGCCAAAGTGGCATGTTATAAGGTAGCATATGCTGCCATCCCTTATCATCTGACCCTTTGAGAGCATTTGCCATTCCTTCTTGCACATAATAGTACCAGAAGAAAACATTTTATTCCTCTTGGGTTAAAAGGGGATTTCTTTATTAGAGGACTGAAGGTGAATGTGCATATAAACATTTGTTCTTTACAGATACTTTCACATAAAGCTATTATATTCTGAAAGCAAATCCACAGAAGCGGGTCTGTTTCCAAGTCATATTTCTGCTGTCTTATTCCTGAAAATCCAACTACAAATGTGGCATCTATGTTTTGGTGTTCATATGTAGGCCAGAGCAGGAACAAATGGGAGGGGTTTAGTGGGGAGTATCTGTGAATACTGAATTGAAATAAAGCTCCAAGAGTTTCCAGGATCAAAGTGTCTTCCTAAGACATGCGTATCTCTATATGCTCATGTCTCCTCTCATCCTTTCCTCTCCCCTCTGTGCTGTTTGCTCCACCTTGCTCCTCTCCTGACGGTGTACAGGGCTTAAGCATTTATTGTTTGGTGATGATGGCAGTGGTGGTTGCATGTGTCCCCAAAAACATCTAGCACAAGGACTGTTACATAATAGAGGCAGTGAGTGTCACACTTGACGGGCTGTTTTTATGACACAGAAAATAAAGCATTTGTTTATTAATAGAAATTGTTGTCAGTAAGACAGAAGTAATTTTCTCTAACCAGTTGTATGGTGTCACAACCAGTCTCTGCTATAATTTTTTTCTTACCAACATGTCTGAGATTTTTTTATAGCCATATATACAAAAAAGTTCTGGTTTTAATAGAGTCTCTGGGCAAATTATGATGCAGTCTAGATGCGAATCACATTTAACATTTGGATGTCTAACAGTTTTGTGTCACAAATCTTTGTAGAGGACAGGAAGAGCCTTTCCACACTCTGATGTTTTAATGTTGGGTATGTAGTGCTACAATGAACTTAAATATTTATATTCATAGAGTTGCAAATGTTAGGCATGAGTTTATGAAGTCTTTTTGAAGAATATAACAAGGGTAAGTTTTTGCCATAAAAATAAGAGCGTTGTTTCTTAAGGTTTTTTCCAGAATAGTGCGAAAGCACTGAGATTGTTGCTATCAGAAAGCTGATGTGGAACCATCCCTTTAAGGAGGGACAGTACATGTACCAGTGGTCAGTTTCAGAGCCCTAAAGGAAATACAAGCATCATCAAGTTCAGGGCAGCCTCTGCACTTGCATATGAGAAAGTGGAGGCCCCAAGACAAAAATGTAACATGTCAAACCTGGGCATAAATCCAAGTCCCTGCACACCTGTGCCGTGGTCTTTCCACCATGTGGCACTTGTCTAGCAGGGTAGAATGCGAGAGAAATGCTGAAGATAAGTAAGATGAATGTTTAATTCATCATGAGT